TAGTTTCTCTGCTGTTTTTTATGCTGAAACAGACACATACAGTAGATTGTGTTGGCCAAAGTTTTCAATAAGGTTGGTTGGTATGGTAAAATTTGTTTGTTTTCTTTGTGAATTCTGGTGGTGAAAAGTGCAGTTAGAATATGGATAGATTTGGATGGTTTTTTTCCCTCACTCACTTCGCAACCAACACCAGCAGCACCACACAACCGCACAAAATACCAGCAAACAACTTGCGCAATGCAATTTTCACCATGCTTGTTCTTGCATGGGTTCTGTTCTGTTTTCCATTATGCTGAAAGAAACACATGCAGTGGATTATGTTGGCCAAAGTTTTCCCGAGGTTGGTTTGTACGGTAAAATTTGTTTGTTTTCTTTGTGAATTCTGTTGGTGAAAAGTGCAGTTAGAATATGGATAGGTTTGGATGTTTTTTTTTTCATCGCTCACTTCGTAACCAACAAGCAGTACCACACAACCGCACAAAATACCAGCAAACAACTTGCGCAACGCAATTTTCACCATGTTTGTTCTTGCATGATTTCTGTCCTGTTTTCCAACATGCTGAAAGATACACATACAGCAGATTATGTTGGCCAAAGTTTTCCCGAGGTCGGTTGGTACGGTAAAACTTGTTTGTTTTCTTTGTGAATTCTGGTGGTGAAAAGTGCAGTTAGAATATGGATAGGTTTGGATGGTTTTTTCCCCTCACTCACTTCGCAACCAACACCAGCAGCACCACACAACCGCACAAAATACCAGCAAACAACTTGCGCAATGCAATTTTCACCATGCTTGAAGTCAAGGACTTCAAAAGCACCCCAATCAATAAAATGTGACTACTGTGTTGTATCTTTTGCAGTACCGTATTCTTACAACTCCTGTGTGGTTTTTCTGCAGTTAGAATACGCCGACACAATATAGAGACACAATAACAAAGTTAATTTTCATTTGTGAGATTATATGTCTTGAAGTATGGTACAGTACAGTATCTGGAAGTAAATGTTGTCTCCAGCAATTGAATCAACCAAATGTGATTATATCACATTCTTGCAACACCTGTGGTCATTTCCTGCAGTTAGAATACAGGTAAACGCATCATTTGGTCTTGCTTCATTGAAGTCCGGAGCATGATCTTTGCGGCGCGACGAACATGATATCGGTTCTTCTGACATCAGTGGCCATATTCTAAGTGCATGGGCCCATATTCTAAGACCAAGGTTTTCGGCTTAGCTCCGAAAACCCTATACCCCGAAGAGCGGCTTAGCTCAGCTAAGCAAATCTTAAGGTTTTATATTCTAACTGTTGGTCCGTCATAGTAGGATGTAGGTATCGTATGTATGTATGTATGTATGTATGTATGCCTGTATGTATGTTGTCTTCTTTAGTGTGGGATCCTGATTAGTGGGTGGATCCTGATTAGTGGGTGGATCCGCTATTGTGTAAAGTTTTTCCAAAATAATTCAAGATCTGTGGAATTGATTGGGGGTGTCTCTATTGTGTCGCTATTGATTGGTGGTAATTTGTTCAGTTTTTGTTTTTATTATTTTCCATTTTTGTTTTTTAAAATCTATTATCTTTTTTCACTTTTTTTAACTCATGTTTCATATTTTTTGTTACTTAATTACTATGTTTCATTTTTTTAGTTTAAAAAACAGTTATTTTTCAGTTTTTTCATGAGCAATATTGATCCTAAATAATATGTTTGTTGTGGGGGTCCTCTATTGTGTCCAGCTGTTGTCTGAAGAAACAATTTATTAAGGTTAATTATAACCAATCAGAAATAATTAATCAGTTGAAAGTAAATTGAAATCTATTGAAAGTAAATTGAAATCAATTGAAAGTAAATTGAAATCAATTGAAAGTAAATTGAAATCAATTGAAAGTAAATTGAAAATCAATTGAAATAAATTGAAGGTAAATTGAAATAAATTGAAAGCAAATTGAAATCAATTGAAAATCAATTGACAGTAAATTGAAATCAATTGAAAATCAATTCAAATTGAAAGTAAGTTGAAATCAATTGAAAATCAATTGAAAGTAAATTGAAATTCAAAGTAGATTGAAATCAATTGAAAATCAATTCAAATTGAAAGTAAATTGAAATCAATTGAAAATCAATTGAAATCTATCAATTTTTTTTGCTCACTCATTATATATTCAATACCTGACACTTGAAAATTTCTAAATTAAAGAGGATCCCAGAATTGTTTGGGGGGGTCCCGATACTAATCAGGATCCAACATTACTTATATAGATATAGTTCTATGTACATCCAGCAAAATGGTCACTTATGGTGATCTTGAAACCTCCAAAAGTTGGAAGATATTTTTCAAAAATTCCCGCCATCGGCGGTAGACAC